AATTGCTTAAATATTTCCTCCTTCCCTCACCTCCTTCCTTCCTTCCTTCTTTCCTTCCGTCCTTCCTTCCTTCCTTCCTTCCTTCCTGCCTTCCTTCCTTCCTTCCTTCCTTCCTTCCTTCCTTCCTTCCTTCCTTCCTTCCTTCCCTCCCTTCCTTCTTTCCTCCCTCCTTTCCTTCTTTCCTCCCCCCATCTTTCCCTTCTTTCCTTCCTTCCTTTTTTCCTTCCTGTTGATCAATTCATTTACTTAGTAATCAAACATGATAGAATGTGACATTAGAATTTGGCAAAACATAATAAATTATAGTCAGGAATTCTTAACCTCAGGTCTGTAAACTTTCTTCAAAAGATATTTTGATGGGGCAGCTAGGTGGCACAGTGGATAGAGCACTGGCCCTAGAGCCAGGAGGACCTGAGTTCAAATCCTGCCACAGACACAAAACACTTACTAGCCATGTAACTCTGGGCAAGTCACTTAACCCCAATTGCCTCACCAAAAATAAAAAAAAATGTTTAGATAACTGCACTTTAATATAATTCATTTCCTCTTTAATCTTATGTATTTTCTCTTATGTATTAGGAAATAGTATTCTGAGGAAGATTCCAAAGGCTTCCTCAGACTTCCAAAGGAGTCCATGACACAAAAGTTGATAAGGACCCCTGATCTAATCTAACTCCCTTATTTTACAGTTGAGGAAAACTTGGTCACAGTTTTCAGGTTTCTTTCTAAAGCTCACCCTGCTATTGGGAGATAGAACTGGGCCTGTAAAATAGGTAAATGTTCTGACTCAGCTCAGCACTTGGTCCTAAAATTTTGTTTAACAACAAAAAATTGATCCATCTATTAGTATAACTAGTGAAGTTAGTGGGAAAATGATGCTAAAGGCCAAGAATTTGATTTAAATAAGTAATCCATTTTAGTCAAAACATCTAATTTGGTAGTTCTTTGTAGTCTTAGTTATTTCCAATCATTTTTCAGTTGTGTCTGACTCTTTGGGACCCCTTTTGGGATTTTTTTTTTGCAAAGATACTGGATTGGTTTGTCATTTTCTTCCCCAGCTTATTTTGCAAGTGGAGAAATTGAGGCAAACAGGGTTTAGTGACTTGCTCAGGGTCACACAGCTAAGTGTCAGGGGCTGGATTTGAATTCAGGTCTTCCAGACTCCAGGCCCAGAATTCTATCCACTGAACCATCCAGCTGCCCTAGCTCATAGTTCTTTCTTATACTTGTCACTGGATCCTTGTTTCCATGATTGAACCTCAGAAATCAAATGGTGCTGCACAAGGATCAATCATTTTCCTGGGATCATGTTTAACATTTTCATAAATCCACTGTAGGATAGAACTAAAGTGTATTCAATAAGAAAACTTTGGCTTGAAACCAAGCTGTGGAGGCTGATAAGGAGGTGTCAGGGAAGCAAGAATGATGGGCAAAGGAAGAACTAGAATTTCAATACTTTCGGTCAATGGGAGAAGTATTCAGGAGCAGAACAAAGGTCAATGCTGGGCAAGTGAGGGGTAATATTTTATGGGGAAAGATGAATTGCACAAATACCATATGGGAAATGATGGGCTATGTGCAAGTACATCATAAAGATCTAAGGATCATAAAGATAATAAGCTGTGCCTGAATCAGCATTTGCTAAAAGAGTAGGCAATTCTAGAACACACAAAAATGGGATAGCATAGGGAAACTATGAGGCAATCTGTTCACTGTGCTCAGCCTGGGGCATGTCCTCATTAGAGTATGACGACCAGCTCTGTGGATTCACAGTCTGAGAGGGGTGCCAAGGATTTGGAGATTATCCAGAGGCTAAACTCAGATGAAGAATGCCTTGGGATATATGAGATAGACTCAAGTCATTGAAGTTATTTAGACTGGAGAAGATAATACAGAGGGGGAATTTATAGGATTTGAGCTAGAAAGTGATTGTAAGGATCATATAGTCTAACCATCTCATTTTATACATGAGGAGACAGTCCTAGAGAAATAAAATGATTTACCCAAAGTCACATAGCTAGTAGATGATAGATGCAGGTCTCCTGGTTCAGAGTCCAGATATCTGGTGCAAAGCCTCAGCAGCCAGGTGGCTGGCCATTTGAACAAGTGGGGCCTGTTTTTCCATTGTTTCCTCTGTGTCCTGAAATATTTAGGTTCACTGCCACATTTCCTTGTGCGTGCAATTGTGCTTCCATATTTCATTCTGAGGACTAAATCAACTGATTTGACTGATTGTTTTTGTTTGTTTTTGAGGATAACAGTACTCTATGATGTTGTCTTATGACTGATATAAGGACCTTAATCTTACTTATATCATACATTCTTTTGGTATGTAGCTTTAACCGGGATTGAAGCCTCAGAGAATTGTTCCGAATAATTGCGTGTGTATAATTGTGTTGGTACTAATAATGATGATACTTCACTAGAGATCAGAGGAAGGAGCCTTGGGCTTTTCTGAACTTGCAAATGTTACTGCATTTTTCTTTCTCGCTTTCTGGTGGCCTTCCTCCCCTGTCTGACTCTCCCAGCTGGACAGTTTGGGAAGGCAGCCAACTCTTGGGCTAATGCGTTTTCACTGGTATCTGACACTGCTGTAATTCCAAAGAGATAATGATGAAGATAAGCCATAATTGGGTTTCTTTTTTTAAGGCAGACCTTTTAGTTATCTCGAACTAAACTTCTCCAATTAGCTTATTTTCCCCCTTAATCTGCACAGTGCTGGGATCATGTCGGTATTAATGTTTCAGTTCAGAGGCACACCAAGGTCATTGTCAGCATAAGGAGAGTCTGTTTGCTGCCCGGAGCCAAGGTAATGCTTCTGTAGCCAGGCTGCATGATCCACAGAACAGAATGGGAGCCAGAGCTGAGATTGAAATGTGAAACGGTCCTAGTTGTGAAGTTCCACACTCCATCAAAGAGCTCACTCTCCATAGAAACAGAGCTTGTACCAGGAGGGAAGGGAAAGACCAGAACATGGAGTACTTTGATGCCTGCAATATGTGATCATCATGCCACTTAAATGGAATGAAATAAATCAGCTTAAATTTGGGTCTTGGGGTTTGATCATCATCATAATAGTAGGAGTAAGCATTGATATAGTACCTTAAGGTTTGTAAATCACTTTACAAATATCATTTCAATAATCTGCACAACAATTCTGGGAGGGAGATGTTATCATTATCCCCATTTTACTGATGGGGAAACTGAGTCAGACAGTGATCAAGTGACTTGCCTAGGGTCACAACAGCTAGTAAGTGTCTGAGGGAAGATTTGAACTCAGGTTTGTCTAGATTCCAAGCGCTGGGCTTTATCCATAGCACTACTTAGCTGCCTAATCATATAAATTACATTCTACAATAAACCTTTACTGTAAGGTTTCTTAACTTTTTGTGTGTAGTGTGTGTGTGTGTGTGTGTGTGTGTGTGTGTGTGTGTGAGATGAACTCCTTTGGCAATCTGGAGAAGCCTATGGATGCCTTCTCAGAGTAATGTTTTTAAATGTACAAAATAAAATATACAGGATTAAAAAGGAAGCCAATTATATTTAAAGTTTTATATATATATATACCATATATAGTTATATATACATGTAATAAATAACTACATTTATTTATATGCCATATTTATACATTATTGTATAGTGATATATATATGTGTATATGTGCATATGCTTATATGTGTGTGTACATAAATAAGTTCATATACCCTAGGTCAATAATCTCTGCAGTATACTGGGTTTTGGAAGGTCCATTCAAACTTTCCTTTCCCTTTCCCTTTCCTAAAACACTGGACATACTTTGAATGGATCAGTGGAAGCTGGAAAAGAAGACAGCCAAGAAAAAGGAACTAGGTTGAAGAGATTGTTAAAAGAATACGAAAACGGCAGAGGAGACATACTGGAAACAAGTCACCTCTACCACCCATCTAGCTTCTAATTTTTGAACTAGAAGTTGAAACAAATAACATTGAAACACATACACACCTTCCTTTTCATCCATTTTTGCAGGTCAGTAGTCTATTCTACAGACTCTCTTGGGAGCAAAAGTTCTATTTCCTTGAGATCTGGTTAATGTCATTAACATGAAGTGGAATCAATACCTCTTTGTAGCAAATTCATAGGTGAAATGTGGCTTTGAGAGTAGCAGCATCCTATTCTGACAATTTTGGCTGGGTGTGAATAGTGAGGAGATAATACTTTCTCTAAGCGCACAGTGCCACCAAAGACAGTGTCAAGGACAGAACATTGAGGAGGTGATACTTTCTCTCTCTAAGCACACAGTGCCCCAAAGACAGTATTGAGGTCAGAATGACTTCAGATGAAAATGACAATGGTCAGAGACATGTATGAAAATTCATCAAGTTCTGAGAAAAAGAGACATACGTTCATAAGATTTCAGAACTGGAAGAAAGCTTAAAGGTCACCTAGGTCAACCCCCTCCTTTGATAGATGAGGAAACTGGGTCTCAGAGTGTTGACATAGCCTCGTCTAAACCTAGTCAGTAACAAGGCCAAAGCTACAGTTTAAGGTGTCTTGTTTTTCCTTAAACCTTTGAGTCCAGGTCTCTCCCAATACATCACAAATATACAGACTCATTTTAATATTAGAGATTTGGAAAGAGGCACTAGATTGGAACTATTTTCTTAGCTATGCTAGTGATACGAGGATGACATAGATTAAAAAAAAAAGCATACAATGGAAACTGACTGAGATATAGCAAAAAAAAAAAGATTGTTCCAGCTACTAATAGGTTTTTCTTTTCTTTTCTTTTTTGTGGTTTGAGTATGTTTATACTTGGAACATATATAGACTTACTAAGTCTGGAAAGATAAACCACCTTACCCCAACACACACACACACACACACACACACACACACACACATACTTCAGACCCCCATCTGAAACTTCACAATTGGAACTCAGTAGTAAATTATGAAACTTCCAAATTCAAGTAACCCTCAGTGGAAATGAGTGATTCTGGAGATGACTTCTCAACCACTAGTCATACCTGATGGTTAGTCCTATCCACAGTGTTGGCAGTGGAGGGGTGGTCCCGAGTGTTTTGGCGAATTCGAGTTGAATTTTGTTGCTCGATGGTGGAGGAAGTAGGGATGCAGAACTCTCTGAAACATCTCTTGAAGTTTTCATCCAGGAATGCATAAAGGACTGGATTAAGGCAGCTGTTTGTATACCCTAGAGCAATGCAGAAGTGCCAGGACACAGTCTGGAAAGTAGTTTCAGGGATGGTGACCAAGGCTTTGATGATGACATAGATGTGAATGGGGGTCCAGCAGACTATGAACACGGCCACTACCACCAACACCATTCTGGTGATTCTTCTCAGGTTTCTATCCTTCTCTTTGGAGCCAGACAGCATGCGGACACTCTTGAGGCGTAAGATCATCAGGCCATAACACACAGTAATGATGAGGACGGGCATAATGAAGGCAAAAATGAAAACACAGATCTTCAGCAGGTTTTCCCAGTACCAAGTTGGATGGGAAAATGTGAGTGTGCAATCAATGGAACCTAGAACACAAGAATTTTAAAGAAGAATAAGCAATGGCATTGCTGACTTTCTTTGTTGGTTTTAATCATTGCCACAGCTGTTTATGGCTAAGGACCTTTGAACAAAAACTAAGGCTATGCTTACATATTATAATGAAGTGGCTTGCTTATCTGGATATTGCAGGAGAGATGTTTTGGTTTGAATTGTCTATGTCATGATTTTTCTTAGATATTCAAAGGATCTGTGATCTCAGTGACGCGGCTATTCTCTCCAGTGATTCAGCTTCCAACCCATCCATGCCCCTCAACCCTGTGTAAGTCTTGTTTATGTCTTCCCATAATTTTGGCACAGAGGTTCCAGCCAGGGGAGTCCTGGAGCTAGTTCCTACCATTCTCATGAAATGATTGGTAAAATTTCAATGTGAGCATTTGTACTTTGGAAAAAGCAGGACACTATAAATCAGGACTTGATTAATTGTTTTAGACTCAAGACAGTGATGAAAAAATGTTAATAATACAAATGAAACTTAGAAGTGTGGAATATGTCCTCGCACTGAGAGCCAGTTGTTAAACATTTGCAGCATCCCTGGTTCTAGCCAACATCGATAGGAGCCTTCTTGTTTTCTCTTAGCAATCATAATCAATCAAAATCCTGGTACCTGTTGTCTACAGACTTCCAGGCCACTCCTCTTCCTCTTTCCTTTCTTAGCTCACAGTGTCTCTCTCCTTCCCAACTCTTGCCTCATGCCAGGGGACTTCAACATACCTATTCACCCTCTCTCAAACACCCTAACCACTTAATTCCTCATTTCTCATGACCTAACTTCTGTTACACACAAAGATGGTCATACCATTAATCTTGACATCACCTACAAATTACCCACCTTAACATCCAAGAATTCTGAAATCCCCTTATCTGACCATAATCTTATAACTTTTCACCTCTCTCCTGCCTGCACCATGACCATCAATCTCTCAATGCTCAAGTCTCAAGACCAGGCCATCTCCTCTGCACTGGCCACTCTCTCTTATGTTCTCCATCTTGACCTACCGGTGAAACAATTCAACTCTCTCTTATCGGTCATTCTTGAATGAATCGGTCTTCAAGAATGAACCCTTATTCTCCCTATCATGTCACTGGTTATGTCCTACCAAGCCTTAGCCTTGGATTACCTCCACCATTTACCACCTTTACTCTTCAACACTTTACTTAATGAAAGTGGAGAAAGTGTTCTGACTTGATCCACTACAAATTTATGTTACACGACCTCAACTGAGCTCTCATTGCTGCCAAAACCTGCCTTATAACTCACTATCCCACTATCCCACTTTCCACAGCAGCTCTTCCAAACCTTTCCAGTCTTTCTCCCTCCCTTGACTCCCTTCTTCCTCCCCCACACTCGCAGCTGAGAAGCTTGCCTCGTATTTTACAGAAAAAACTTGAGGTCATTTGCCATGAGCTCTTTTTATCCTCTATCTACTATCTCACATCATCCATGTGTCTTCTGCCATTATCTTCTCCTTTACCCTTTCCTATCTCACACGCTGAGTGGTTTTACTCCTTACCAAGGCTAACCCCTCTTCCCGCTCAATAGATCCTATTCCATCTGGTATGCTCCAACAGATTTCCCCCTCTGTCATTCCCACTTTATCACTTATTTTCAATCTTTCCCTATTTACTGGCTCATTTCCTCCTGTCTATAAACATGCCCATGTTTCTATCACCCTGATGATAGACAAGTAATCCTCCCTTGATCCTTTCATCCTGCTTACTATCATCCTATATCTCTTCTATCCTTTGTGGCTAAACTTCTTGAAAAAGCTATCTACAATGGGTGCCTCCACTTTCCTCTCACTCTCTTCTTGACCCCTTATGACCTGGCTTCTAGTTTTATTATTCTATCAAAACTTCTTTCTCCAAAATTACTAACAATTTTTTTCTGGTGGCCTTTTCTCAGTGTTCATTTTTTAAACTTTTCTGTAGTCTTTGGTACTATTGATAAACTCTCCCTCCTTGATATTCTCTTCTTTCTAGATTTTTGAGACACCACTCTCTCCTGGCTCTCTTCTTACCTAACTGATCACTCCTAAGTCTCCTTTGCTAGATTCTTATCTAAATCACATCTTCTAACTATAGGTATCTCACAGAGTTCTGGCTTTGGCCTTCTTCTCCTCTCACTTTATATTACTTCACTTGGTACTCTTGACAGCTTCCATGGATCTAATTGCCATCGCAATGCTGATAGTTCTCAAATCTACCTATACGGCCCCAATCATTCTGCTGATCTTCAGTCTTGCAACTCCAACTACCTTTTTAGAAATCTCAAACAGGATGTCCAGTAGACATTTTAATCTTAACATGCCTAAAATTGAACCCATTATTTTTCTCCCTAAATCCTATCTCTCAACTTCCTATTACTGTAGAGGGCAACACTACTCTCCCAGTCTCTTAGGAGTCATCCTCAACTCCCGTCTTTTACCTCTCCCCTCCCACCATAGCCAACCTTTTGCTAATATCTGTTGATTCACTTTTGCATCATCTGTCAAATTCATTACCTTCTGTCCTCTTTCATTGCCATAACTCTGGTGCAGGCCCTCTGTCACCTGATGCATGGATTGTTGCAATAACCTGCTAGTGGGGCTGCCTGCTCATTTCTCCCCACTTTAGTCTATTCTCCATTCAACCACCAAAGTGATTTTCCTAAAACACAGTTCTAACCATATCACCTGTCTATTCAATAAACTCTAGTAGCTCGCTATCAACTCCAGGATCAAATATAAATTTCTCTATTTGGTATTTAAAGCTCCTCTTAACCTAGACCCTTCCTACCTCTCCAATCTACTTATACCTTACTCTCTTCCATGTACTTTTTGATCTAGTGTCACTGGCCTCTTTGTGGTTCCATGAACAAGACACTCCGTCTTTTGTCTTTGGACATTTCTTCTGGCTGTTCCCATGCCTGGAATTTTTTTCTTCTTCATCTCTATCTACTGGTTTACCTGGCCTCCTTTAAGGGGTGCTTAAATCACATCATCCACATGAAGCCTTTTCCATCCTCTCTAAATATCCTCTTAAAACATTTTCCATTATCTCTAGTGTTTTCCCTCTCTTGTTTATTTCCTGTTTATCCTCAGGAATGAAGAAAGCACATTTACCTTTTCATATGCCAATGATTTTAAAAAAATTAAAGAAAATCTTTTGTCCCAAATCCCTTTTGGACTCTTGCCAACCAAGAAGTAAATAAATTTCTATGATATCTCATTCTGATGGCCCATGTGCTTCATTGACATCCATATGATATCACAAAAATGAGAATGCCACCAGCTCGTTGGTTGGATCCCCTATAGTGGGTTTATAGGAGGACATGGACAATAATTATTCATGATTGGTGAACATGAATCAGTTGTAACCTATAGAAGGGAAGACCTATTATCAACCAGGCTACAGTTTTACTAGAATATTGGATTTCCCTTGAATGCTGTCTTTGGGCTGGATCTTTGATTTTATAGGCACAGGAAAAAAAAAAAAAGGATGTGAACATTTCTTCTGCCAATACGAGTTGGCTATTAATCTGTAAATTAGAGTCTTAGAGAGTTGTCTAGGACACTGAAAAATTAAGTGACTTCCTTGTGGTCACAAAGCTAGCCTATGTTACAGGCAGGGATTAAATCTAAGTCTTCCTAAATTCAGGGTTGGCCTCCTCTCTTCTACATCATCTTGCCTATCAGAGAATTAGAGGAAGTACACAAAACTACACATGGATCAAAGCATGTTGCCACTTCCAAATTCTGCTTTAATCAACTCTGCCCACATTTTATATTGCACCTCCACCCTCCAAACCATTACCAACCTTGCCTGTATTTTGTGGTTGCCATGAACATGACTGGCAGACCTATGGCTGAGGAAAGTATCCAGTTGCAGACATTGACAATTTTGGCATTTCGAGGAGTACGGAAATCCAGGGCCTTGACTGGGTGGCAGACGGCGATGTAGCGATCGACACTCATAGTGCAGAGAGTAAAGATGCTGGTGAACATGTTATAGTAGTCTATGGAGATTACAATCTTGCAAAGGATTGTGCCAAAGGGCCAGGTGCCCATCAAGTAGTTGACACTTTGGAAGGGCAGTGTGCTAGTTGCTAGCGCATCTGCGAGGGCTAAATTGAAAATGTAGATGTTGGTGGCTGTCTTCATCTTGGTGTACCTGGAAGATGAAGGAAGAATTGTCATAGATTCAGTGAAATAACCAAAAGTAATTGAACAAAAAAACTAGTTTCATTGTAAGTGCAAAGAGTACATCTTGCATTATTCTTGGTTATAAGGCAGCTAGGTGGTTTAGTGGACAAAGCGTCAGTTTTCAAATCAAGAAGACCTAAATTTGAATCGGGCCTTGCTCTCTTACTATGGGACCCGGCCAAGACACTTAACTTCTGTCTCCCTCAGCTTCCTCATCTTTAAAATGGGAATAATAATAGCACTTATCTCCCAGGATTGTTGTGAGGATCAGAGGAGAAAACAGCTATAAAGTGCTTTACAAACCTTAAAGCACTATATAAATGCTAGTTATTATTATTATAATAACATTTTCATAGGCTGATAGACTCAAGAATCTTAGATCTAGGGGGGACCTTAGAGATAATCTGGCCTAATGCTTTCATTTACAGATAAAGAAATTGAGGCCTAGAAAGAATTAATGATTTGTTCTAATGTATGTTTGTGTGTGTAAAAAATTCTATTTCATACACATAGACTAATAATTATAATTTTCTTATATAACATTTAAAATTTATATATCTTCGCATAGAATAAAGTTATGGATAAAACAAGGCAGCTGAAGCTCACGCATGGTTTGTAATCTAATCTAAATATTTCAGAGATTACCTGGAAAGATTAAATGACGTTAACTGAATCTCACTGGCAGAAGTTCACCAAATTTTGGTAAGAATTCTTCCCCTAGGATTTTTGTTCTAATTATCAGGAACCCTCTAAAAACCTTCAGTGGTAAGGTAATATTGAAAAAAAAAATTGTATTGAACTGATTCTATGACAAAAATAGTGAATCCATGAAGCAAATATTTGGATTAGCTAGACTGGAAAGCCAATGTAAATACAATAATAGCTATTATTTGTATGGCACTTTAAAGTTTGCAAAGTGATTTACTTTCGCTATCTCATTTGATTCTCATCCCAACTCTGTGAAGTAGAGGCTGTTAATTATCCCTATTGTAGAGATGTTGAAACTGAAGCTGAGGGAGGTTACTACTGGTGTCCCACTGCTGGAAAGTGTCTAAGGCAGTATTTGAATTGGAATCTCCCTGACTCCATGTCCAATGCTTATTCTCTGTGACACCTAACTTCCTAGAATAGGAAAAGATCCTATGCTTCCCTAGGTATTTGAACTTACTCCATTCCAACCTGTTCATGACTTAGTAGATAAATCCTATTGAATTGCCTGAAGCACATAGAGATTAAGGGTTCTTCTTAGGGTAATATAGCTAGTATATTTCCGAATGGGTTAAGAACCCAGGACTTCTTTGACCCCGAGATCTAAACTTTCATCATTACCTCAGGTAATTTCTTCAGAAATTAATCTTTCATAAAGAAAAATTAGGGAGTAAAATTGTCTTTAACTTGATTAGCTAGAGCATTTTTATTTCTTTGAGGTTTTAAAAAAATAACCAAATGAGGAACACAATTTTGAAGAGTTTTTTAGTTAAAAAGAAATTGTCTGTGTGGCTTTAAGCTTTGATATCACTGGCCTTGATCAGACGCAGGTTTTAATGATGTTTCTGAGCAGAAGAGACAAGAACACTATTGCTAGGTAGCCATTCATTATAGATACGGCTGGTCTGAAGACTTCCCTGCTGCATTAGTCACTTTTCTACCAAGCTGAATCTACATTTTATACTTTATCTTTATCTATAATAGAGTGTTTTATGTTAAATATCAGCTCCTTCACTGTCAGCTTGGTGACTCATCGCAACACATCTTAGCCTGTTCTCTTATCTTGGAATTCAGTGCTTCTTGCTGCATAGTTATTTAATTTTTTTTAAAAATCATTTTCTCCTTCACTGAGATGAAGTTGAACAAAATTAGGTTCTTCGTCCTCTGTGTCATGCAAAGAAAATTGCACATTTATCTGCTGAAATTATCCTGATTGGTATTAAAAAATAACTAAGGCATTGCTTAATTTTTTTTCATTTAAAGCCAAACAGCTCTTTTCAGAAGTAACTCAAGTTTTTTTTTCTTCTCTCAATTACTCACAAATTGAGTCACTGGTCTTTGTCTACATAGCTGAAATATAATCAGTCGTGCTTCAGAGATTCAGTCTTTCTAATTCTCTGAGGCTTATTAAGCAGGCCTTGGGAGGGTAGGGTGTATACCTCAACAACTCCTTCCCTAGACTCATAAGCAATGAGGTGGCATAGTGGATATAATGCTGAACTTGGCCTAATAAAGATCTGAGTTTGAATCCCTATCAAAGACACTCCTTAGCTTATTAACTATGGGTCTGGGAAAATCATTTAACCTCTCTCAGTTTCCTCATCTGAAAGGTGGGGATAATAATAGCACCCACCTCCTAGGATTGTTGTGAAAATCAAATGAAATAATATTTGTAAAGCACTTTGCAAATCACAAAACAAAATAAAAACACAGCTGATCAGAACAGTGGACTCTTCCAATTATTTCTAGTCTTGCCATGGTTGTATGAACATGTTCACAATGGAATTATGTGTTCATATTGTGAAATGCTTGGCCAAGAGTGGAAGTCCCTTACTGTAGACTGAGTGGGAACCAACACTGTAGATCATATAATGGAGATTTGAGAGAAGGGAAGCATTAAATCAAGAAAGGAGTCTGATAGTGAAAGTGGGGGCCCTTGGGTGCTGTTGTGACTTGGATAATGTCCAGATCAATGTCCTGACACAAACCCAAAGTAATATGTGTCCGCAGTCAAGTTCCTAATCAAGGATATCATCATTAGAAATTGGCAGAGGATAGGTACTATTCTCAAAAATTTAAGTAACTTTGTCCTTGTAGTCACGGCATCTACATGAGTTTCCTTATTTTTCACCATGTTGAGTAGCTCACAATTTTGAGTCAAGTTACTGGCAGACATAGAAAGTCACAGATGTGGACCTTTGATCAGTCAATCAGTTAATAAACACTTACTAAGTATTTCCTATGTGCCAGGCACTGTGATGAGTGCCAGAGCTCAGTCTGGGTCTCTATCCTTGGAATGTGTGGCCATAAATAATCTAAGGCCAGCCTTACACAAAATTGTTTTGTGGTAATGACCTGTCTTCATTTTGTACTCTGCACTTTCAGGGCTGCTCATTATAGAATTTTCCAATATTCTCTCTTAGGCAGTGGTCCATGGTCCTTCCTTCTCCTCACCCATAGTACCCCCTTTAAAGCTTAACTTGTCTGTTTTCCATCCTCATAAGAGCCTTGTTAGGTGACTGACGAGGTAAACCGATAAACTAATTCACACTAATGTGTACTTATCATGTAGTTCTCTAGGGTAATAAGTTTGATTTTTAATAAAGTCCCTCAACTCTAAGAATGAGTCCAATGGTCAGAATTTTGGGGACTGTGTTAGATGATGGGACACATTTTAGAGCATATTACATAAATAGTTAATCAACAAATTGATATGAAAGGCTGACTTTATATGCACATGTTTGATTGTAAGTGATCAGACTGGTTCTTGTAAAAATAATAATAATAATAATAATAATAATAATAACATTAAATGGATAATGAGTGGGCTTTGGAGCTAGGAAGACTTTGTTTAAAGGCTTTTCTCAAACATGTACTGGCTGTGCAAACCTGAGTAAGTAATTTAATATCTCAATGCTCCTAAGTAAATCTCTAAGATCATAAATTGCAGAATATGTGTCAACCCTCTCTGATAGGGAATTATACCAATGAAACCGCAGGTCTATTCACCTCCACCCCGCCAATTGTAGTGATAATAACAATAACTGTCATTTACATGGTGCTTTGCAGCTTCAACAGATGTTCTCTCACAATAATAGTAATAGTAGCTAGCATCCATATAGTACTTTAAGGTTTGCAAAGCATTTTACAAGTATAATTTTATTTCTCCCTCACAGCAACCCCGTGAGGTATTAGTACCCCCACTTTATAGTTGAGGAAACTGAGGCAAACAGAGGTTAAGTGGCTTGCCCAGGGTCACACAGCTATGAAGCATCTGAGTTTGGATTTGAAGTCAGGTCTTCCTGTCTCCAGGTTCAGAGTTCTATCTATGGCACTACCTTCTGAGGGATGTAATGCATCGTTCAACTGAAATTCCTCATTCCAAAGTTACCAGTTGGGGCGGAGCCAAGATGGCGGAGGGAAAGCAGTGACTGTCTTGAGCTCTCTCCCAAAGCCCTCCAAATACCTAAAAAAAAATGGCTCTAAACAAAGTTACCAGTGACCACTTAATTGCCCCCTACTTCTTGACTTCTTTGCAACCTTTGACACTATTGGTCACCTTCTCCTACTGGATACTCTTCTCTCTCTAGTTTTTTGGGACAATATTCTCTCCTAGTTCTCCTCCTACTTCTTTTTTTTTCTCCTCCTTCTCTTACCTCTCCTGAGCCTCCTTTTCTTGGTCTTTATCCTGGTCATATTCATTAACCATGGATGTTATCATAGACTCTGGGATTATAAACTTTGAGCTGATAAGGACCTTTGGCCCTAAGGCTCTGGCTTGAGCCCTTTTTCTTTTCTATTTGATACTACATTGATTGATGACCTCATCAACTCCCACGGTTCAACTCATTTCAGTGCAGATTATTGATTCCTAAATCCATGAATCTATCCCTAATCTTTCTCCTTAGCAACCAGTACCATATCACCTACTGCCTTTTAGATATCTCAAACTGGATTCTTCTTAGGCTTCTCAAACTAAAAAACAGAACTTAATACCTTTTCCTCAACTTTCCTATTACTATATAGGGTACCCCAATTCTTCTAGTCACCCAGACTTGCAAGTATATCATCATCCTTAACTCCTCACCAGTACTCATCAGACATAGCCAATTCATTGCTAAATTGTGTCATTGTTATCTTCCCAGTATCTCTCAAATATGTCCACTATTTTCTATACATATATATGTATATATACATACATATATACGTACATACAAATATATATATATAGATAGATAGATAGATATACACACACACTTA